AGCATCTGCCTTCAGCTCAGGTCATGATCCCACGGTCCTGGGATCGAGTTCCGCATCAGGCTCCCTGCTTAGCGGTGGTGTGTGTGTGGGGGGGTGTTGCTTCTCCCTCTCCCTCTGCCTGCTACTCCCCCTGCTTGTGCTCTCTCTCTCTGTGTCAAATAAATAAATAATATCTTAAAGAAAGAAAGAAAGAAAAGAATAGGAAGGAAGAAAGAGGAAGGGCAGGAAGGAAGGGAAGGAAGGGGACTCTGGGCCCAGACAAGTGTGTTCTGCGTCTGGGATCTGGCGGGGTCAGTGGCCAGTTTTCTTTGTTTTCTCCTTTGTGTGCACTTCTGATGTTGCCAATGACAAGCCACACCAGAGAATCTCAAATTTACTGTTCTCAGGTGAGGCGTTTGCCTGAGGTAATGCTCTCTCTCCGCTTCCCCTCACCTCATAGAAAAACTTGTGTCCAAAGCCCATTACCGCCCCCAGTGCATGGACCTTGCAGGGAAGAGTTGCATAAGGACATGACAGACGTGGGTCCCAAGCATCCAGTCAGTGGGGAAAGCGGCTTCATGGGATGGGAAGCCCCCCAACCTTGCTTTCTCCTTGATCCTCCTCCCCAGCTAACAGCCTCCTAATCCCTTACCTGGTTTCTCCTTTGAGTCTGCTCTCCTGTTCTCCCTTTCACACTCTCTGAGGTTTGCGTCCCTGGTGACTGGGTCTACAGCCTTCCATATTTAGACAACGCCCTTTTGCACAGAGGGAGCCCTCACACAGATGGACTGAGTTACTAAAAACAGACCATTTCCTTAATCCAAGTTGCTTAAAGGTAAGGAGCCCCGACCCTGAAGGCAGGGCTCCCTCTTGGAGGCATGGGTGAAGCATATTAGTGATCCAAGTGGCTTCAATGCCTGCTGAATCCCCTGTTTGATGCCCAGGGATCCTGTATACTTGCCAGATAAGAGACAGAACACTCAGTTACATTTCGATTTCAGATAAACAATGAAAATATTTTAGTATAAGTATATCCCATGCAATATTTGGAACATACTTATACCAACAATTATCTGCTGTTTATCTAAAATTCCAATTTAACTGGAGGCTGCATATTTTTCTTTGCTCAATCTGGCAACACTTCCTTAGCAGGTCCTGGAACCTTCTCCTGCAGTCATTCTCTGGCACCCAGTTACAGCTTCCCCTCTGGGCCCCTGGGGCCAGGGAGAGGTAGTATCAACTGCAGGAAACTTCAGGAGTTTTGGAATTGTCCATTTCTGCCCTCCTAAACTACTTTGCAACCAGAAGAGTAGGATCTCTTTTTTTTAATGTTTATTTATTTATTTTTAAGATTTTATTTATTTATTTGACAGAGAGAGACAGCTAGCTAGAGAGGGAACACAAGCAGGGGGAGTGGGAGAGGGAGAAGCAGGCTTCCCACTGAGCAGGGAGCCCGATGCGGGGCTCGGTCCCAGAACCCTGGGATCATGACCCGAGCCGAAGGCAGACGCTTAATTGACTGAGCCACCCAGGCGCCCCAAAGTAGGATCTCTTTTCATTTTCTTTTAGGATTACTTCTAAGATAGGTTAAACATATATGCGTTGTCCTATTGTATATGCTCTATGTCACAGAAATCATTAAACTTGGAGAGGAGCCGACAGTTTAACAGAGTGTGGCCATGTGCATTCCCTCTTCACTCTCGGGATGACCCCTAGAAGCAGAGGAGGGCAAGGTGGATCTGTTCATAGTTGGGGAACCGCAGGCGCAGGGAGCTCAGTGACTCGCTGACAGGCTCAGGAATAGTGCCGGGGCGGGAGGGCGGGGGGGCAGGACCAGCCCCGGGTCTTAGGCTCCTGGTGTGCAGCGTCCCTCCCTCCTGTGCAGGCCACCTCCTCAGGCCACCGGGCTCTCGGTTCGTTAGGCAGCAAAGAAGTCTTTGGAGGAGCTGAAAGGGAGAGGAAGCATCCCGGAGGGACTGGTGTGGGGAGCGCACACCAGAATGGCGTGTTTTAATTGATCTTCGGTTGTGCCAACAACCGCCAACTCCCAGGGCAAGCAGCTGCTGCTTCTGAGTCAGCACCCTTCCGTGAGGCTTGGCCTGCCCAGAGTGCAGGCATTTCTGGCTCCCCCCCGCCGCCCAAGCTCTTTGTGCAGGAAGTGCGTCTGTGCAAAGCAAAAGGTTTCTTCTGCTTTCTTAATTAGACAAGCAGCTTGGAGCCTGGCGTCCTGGGAATACTGTCCAGGGTCACCTGCAACTTCGCCCCCACCCCACCACCCGGTTTATCCTAGAAGCCCTGAGAGACCTAACTCTGCTGATGAAGCTAGACACAGCTCTAAAGATGCTGCAGGAGGCTTCTGAAGTACAAAATACTTTGTGAAGGGGTTTGAAAACTTCTGGGCTTCTTAGCAAGTTTCCTAGCACGCGCGTGCTTTGCACAGCTCCAGGGTACCTATGCCCCGCTGTAACGGGGGATGGAGAGAGGCTTCCAGTAGGAAGACGTCCCTCCTGTCTTCCTGGAGACCTTGGGATTTCGGAAGATGTCTTGTCTGGTGAGACAGGCAGAAAGACCCTGGCTGAGGGGCCCTCCGGCCACTGAACTCACAGAGCCGAAGACTTAACTTGCATCTCCACAAAGATGTTTAACAAGCATCTTAAAGCTAACAGAACCCTTGATTCCTTCCCTCTCACCTCCAACACGTGCCTTCCCTAACCTTCCCCATTTTAATAAATGGCCTCACCACCCACCCCCAAAAGAAATGGTTTTGCCTTAAGCCAAAAATCTAGATTCATCCTCTCTTCCTCTCTTTCTCACAACTCCACAGCCAATCCATCGGCAAGATCCTTTGGTTCTACCACCATGTGGTATGTTGATCTGCCCATTTCCTTCATCTCCATTGCCAACATTCTCCTCCAAGCCACAACAATCCATTCAAACAACCCAGTTAAGTCTGTCTATAGCCCCTCTGGCTCCATGACAATCCTTTTTCCCATCCCAAGGCCCTCTATGATCTGGTTCCACCCACCTCCCCTTCAGTGGACTTCTCTTCCTTCAATTAAGAACAAAAATATCTTGTGTCCCTGTTTAATCCCCTCAGTACCTGAATTTGCCATGTTCACATTTATCCATCCGTGTTTATGGTCATGCCTCCTTCATTAGAACGTGAGTTCTGTGAGGGCAGGCTGTTTGTCTTTTTCTCCACCAGATCCCCAGTCTGCCCATGTTTTAGTTTCCTAGGGCTACCATAACAAAGTACCACAAAATAAGTGGCTTGAAACAACAGAAACTTATTCTCTCACAGTTCTGGAGCCTGGACATCCAAAACCAAGGTCTTATAGGGTCGTGTTCCCTCCAAAGCCCCTAGGAGAGGATCCTTCCTTGTCTCTTCCAGTAGCCCTGGGTCTTCCTTGGCTATAGGCCCAACCCTAAAAGTTCTCCCTCCCCTCTCACACAGTACTCTTCCCTCTGGGTCTGGGTCTGGCTCTGGGTCTCCTCTTCTTAGAAGGCACCAGTCATATTGGAGTAGGGCAAGTATGACCTCATCTTGACCTGATTATATTTGCAAAGACTCTATTTCCAAATAAGGTCACGTTCACAGATACCAAGGGCTAAGACTTCAGCATATCTTTTTTTTGGAGGGGGCCCACAATTCAACCCATAACAGCCTGGCATAGTAGATGTTCAAAAAACATTTTGCGAATGAATGAGTATTTTCAACTGGACTCAGAATATAGTGAGCTGATTTCCAGAGCAGCCAACACAAGGGCCTGGGGCTGCCCCTGTAAGCGAAAGGAAGTGTGCAAATCTATCATGCCAAAGCAACACACTAGAAAGAGAACACTGACATAAACCCGTTGTTGGGTATTATACCACTTTTGAAAATCTTAGAAATCAAAGGGAAAAAAAAAAAGAAAATTTTAGAAATCAAATTTAAATTTTTTCTCACTGATTTCATCAAGTGAGCCATCAAGGCAGCCTGCAGTTTATAAAGGCCTCTCCCTATAACCTGTCTTTAGCTTCTCACAGGAGTGTGCACACATCATTACGGAAGGGGCAGAAGCTCCGAGGGAGGACGTGGTTTGCCCGGGGTGGCAGGGCCAGGATGGGGGCCCAGGCTGGTCAGACTCCTTGGCCAGTGTCCCCGAAGGCAGCCAGTGTTGGTTTCATGGGCCCTGGTCAAGGTCAGTCAGACAGTGTTTGTGCAGAGCTGTGTGATAAAGTCTGAAGAATGAGGAAGAAGACAAGATGGGAGGAACGTTGTTTAGCTTTAATAGAATCTAACTAGCCAGGACTTGGATATTCAGAAATGAGACCGATTCTGCACATCGATTCCATTTTAAAAAACAGCAACAACAACTCTGTTTTAGAGTAACATCTTTTGAGATCACAGCTTCATAGTATTTTAGAGCTGGAAGACACTGTTAGGTTGTGGAAAGAGGCCCTTGTCCTCAAGCAGGATGATAGCTCAGGAGTGGGATTAAGTCCCAAATGGCTCTAGGACAAGCAGAACATCCTAAGATTGTCACCAAAGTTCCAGGGGGTTCAGAAGTGAGACTGAGTCTCTCTCGCTTTTATCCTTAAGGAAACTTCATAGGGGAGGGGAAGTCCCTTTGACATTGGTCTGGAGGGAGCAAAGTGCAAGTTTCACAGTGGAAATGCATTCTGAAAAGAAGGAAGAGCTTGAGCAAAGGAGACTAGAAAGGACTGGATGTGTTAGTAATGTGGGGAACAGTGGGGGACATGACGAAAAAGCAAGTTGAGACAAGCAGCTCATTTTTCATGGGGACCCTTCAGTGGGGTTCCAGCCCTCGCCAGGCCCCGATTCCCCAAGGGACCTCTCCCTGGATCTCTGGGCCTGTTTTCTCATCTATAAACAAGAGGATTTTCTAAAGATATTAAGTGAGGCCTCACGTTCTATAAAGATGCTGCATTGCTAGGCTTCCACGTTGAGCTGCATGGTAAGATTTTATTTTAAGAATGGTTTTTGGGCTTTAAAAATGTTTAAAAGTCACTGCTCTCCATTATCAAGTTCCCTCCAACTGTACAATTCTATTTCTTTCTGCTGCAGGATTGAGCGTCCCTCTGGTTTGTTATTCAAATGAAGCATGACTCATTTAGGATTTACCAGGTCCCTCTGAATTGTCTATGGCTGTATTAAGTCATTTGACCTGTTTCCAGTGGAAAATCCATTTTTATTTATATCCTTAGGAGAAAGAGCCTGGTGTGGCTAAAAGAGTCGGGAGAAGCAAGTCAGCAGATCTGGTTCTGTGCTGGAATAACAAATATCATTCATAAGTAAGTACAAATAAAACAATGAAATTTTGTTGAATAAATGCTAACTAGGGACACCATCTTGAGCAAGTGCCCTTGCCTCTCTAACCTTGGCTTTTACCATCTCTAAAATCAAGACAACACCTGCCGGGTCTGCCTCAGGCCCTTTTGTGAGGCTCAAATGAGAGAATACACTTGAAAGCTCTTTACAAACTAAGGCACTCCACATGTATAATGTACCAGGTGGTGCTGGGTGGGGGGCAGAGGTCGGGGCTTGAGAGAGCCATTCTCCTGGATGACTGTGGAGGGGTGGTCTGATGCTGAGACCTCAGGAAGTGGCTGATATTCTCTGTCAAGCATTTCTCAACTTGATCATATTAAAAAAAAAAAAAAAGCAAAAACTAAAAAAGAGAAGAAGAAATGCATGTGCTTCCCGCTTTAGATGTTTCACCTCACTCCAGGTCCCAGCTAGCCTTCCAAGCCACAAGGTAACCAACACTAAGACTTGTCCTAAAAACCAGGGGAGGCCCACTACAAGGAGACATAACCAAGACAAACCCGCAGGGAAGACAGAAGCAGAAAGTCTTGTCTGGCTTCCAAATATACTTATTAAGTCTTTGCAATACTTGCGAGCTCAAGACGGGGCTTTAAAAATCATTGTTGAGTTCCTAATTAAAGCCGTATCATTGGGTCAATGAATAAATGGGCATGATTTCTCCTGCAGCTTAAGGAAGCACTGATTCTTCCATTGAACTTATTCACTGACAATTTGTCTATTTACCAAAACTTAACCAATGACATCTGTCCTTCTTGAGCCCAAGCCACCATCCCCACAGTCTCTTTGACCTGGCATTGTTGGAGCTATTTCTCAAATATGCCGGATTGAGACACCCGGAGATCACGGTCCCAGCTGGGCTGTCAAACAAGAATGCCAGAAGGGAGGCCTTTGCCCAAACACATTCTATGGCTCCCCATCTTGTGGAACCCACATGCCTTAGCCTGAAGGTCTCTCCAGTCTGGCCCCACCCTGGAGGACGTTGGTTCTACCGGCAGAAGCCCTCAGCTGGGGAGAGGAGACAGACCTCAATTCTTAGGTGTCTCTGCTCGTGAGAGCAAATGATCATGTTCCCTTTGCTCTCTACGCCTCAGGCTCCCTGCTGGTCTGCTAAGGAAGTTGAACTGGTCCAGCTGTAAAGCTCCATTCATTTTCTGGGGACTAACCCTGGGGTAAGAGGAAAGTTGAGAGGACCGAGCAGTTCCGCTTTGAGCAGGTTGACACATTCTGAGTAACATTTCTTTGGGTGAAGGATTCTACTGCCAAAAAAAAATGCTTGAAAAACACTGGCCTTCACCCGATTCCAAAGCTGCCTGGACACCCTTCCTGCCCCTGGGCCCATGAGAAGCTCTTCTATATTCTTGCTACAGTGACCTTACCCAAGACGCTCATCCCAACGTGCAATGCTTGGGCTCATCTGCAGAAGATAACACCCCTAACACGGTCCTGAGGTTGAGGGCTGCCTAGAAGAGGGTCACTCCCAACTCTGGGCCCTCCCCACCCCAAAGTGGGGGCAGTGCAAGGGGCGGAGGTGAGGTAGCTTCCCAGGGCTGGCAGAAAGTGGGGCAAGTCTGATCCAGACTGGCTCAGCTCCCTCTCTTAGTATCTTCCCACTCCCTGCTCCCACTCCCCTTGCCCAGCCTGGGGTGAAGCTGTTGCTGCCCTATTAATAGGATCTGCTGCTCTACTCCGTTTCCTCAGGGACTTGCTCTGTTGTTCCGGCTGCCTCTCTTCCTCTCTGTTCTGAGCCTACCTCTTCATCCTCTGAAGAGCCCAACCCTGCCTCTAATTCGTCTCTGCCCCCTGACAGTGGGTGAGCTTCAGCAGGTCCCTTCTGCTCTCTGGACTTCTGTTTCTGATGTCCTGCCTCATTGGATTTTCCAGAATTCTGGAATTCCAGAATTCCATCCCTTTGCACGGATGCCTTGTTAGGCTCCATCCTGCCTGTGCCCCAGAGGTACTCTGGGACCCTCATTCTTGGCTCTCAGGCTCCAGCCCTGGGTCCTGCATTGCCACAGACACCAGCCTAATTTGATGCTTCAGGCCTCATCCTAGCAAGGGAGTTGGTAGAAAGCAGGCTTGGTCTTCTGACGTTGTTCACATCATAGACTGGGGGCCTCCGCCTGGGCCCTGCTGTGGAATAGCAGATGCCTTGGGGTCTGGTATCAGTGACTCTTGTGGGTGATAGAGAGCCAGCCTTACCTGCTGAGGGCACTGATTAGAGTGGGCAGTGCTGAGAGGGGGACGAGCAGCTCTCCTAGTGGCCAGCATGCCTCAAGAGAGAGGCCTACAGGGAGGCCCAGGTACCTGTGTGACCTTGGGCAAGTCTTCTTTCCCTCCACCCATCTTCCCTTACTTTCTCCTTGTCACAAACTTTTATTGAGCATTTTCTAATGACCAAATGCTCTGCTAGGCTTTGAGGCTTCAAAAACATAGTCCTGACCCTAGAGAACCTCATAATCTAATTGTGGAAGCAGAAATGTGAACCAATAACTGTGCTTGTGACTCAGTTTCCTCATCTGTAAATGAAGGAGTTCTGGCCCCGATACTCTGTGATCCTCTCAATTCAAACACTACTCTGGGGGATGCCTGGGTGGCTCAGCCAGGTGGGCATCCAACTCTAGATTTCGGCTCAGGTCATGATCTCAGGGGCTTGGGATTGAGCCCAGCATTGGGCTCTGTGCTGGAGTCTGCTTAAGATTCTCTCTCTCCCTCTCTCTCTCTGCCCCTCTCCCGCCATGCTCACATGCATGCACCCTCTCTCCAAAAATAATAATAATAACAACAACAATAATAATAAAATAAACCACTACTCTATGATGCTCTTATCACAGTAGACTTGTCTGTACTCACCAGGTTGGAGAAGTGGTAGATGTCTTCCCAATCCAACAGAGGGTCTTCAGCTTGGGGTGAGAACCACTGGAATAACCATCTCCTTCGGGAAACCAATGTCTTCTTACCAGTTCTATACTAATGCATCAGTCTCGGTCACTTGTCTTTTCTTTTTTCTTACACTTGTGTCTTCTTGCTATCTTCTAGAATTTGGTTTTCAAGGTCCTTGCCTTACATTTGCATCATCTGCAGAGGAAGTGCCAGATATTGCATTAACCAGTCCCAGCTCCCATGAGCCAATTCCCTGGCCGAGGAGGGACAGACCTTTCAGGTACCCAGAAACGCAGGGGCTGACAGTGCACTTTGCACTGCATTGTTCCACTGGAGGATCAGGCCAGAGATGGGGACGTGACCAGGCAAACTTAAGGGGTAGTTGTGGAGTTACTGCGAGTTCTGTGATGAAAAATGGATCTAGAGACTTCCACCTCTAAATGTACACTGTGGCTGCTGCCCGTCCAGTCCAAGCGGGAGCCATTCTAGCTGCTTCCCTGGGAGCTTCCGAAGATGAGAGGGCACATGGAAGCTAGAGGGAAAGAACAGTCTACCCCGCACACCAGCTGAGTGTCAGCCCTGGACACAAGGAGTTAAGGAAACCTCCACAAGAAGCTTTCGGGGTGTCACTGCTGCCCCTGACAGGCGGATATCAAAGCATCCAGCTGGACCAACAGAATATCTCAGACTGTATTTGTCTGGCTTTACCTTTAACTTTGGAAGTAACACTCATCCCCAATGGTGCTATTGTTTTTGAAGGACAGCTCTGGAGTAGGCCTAGGATGGTATCTTGCAGGTTCTTCCTGAAATTTCTGGATGAACCCCGAGGCGAATGATGAAGGCTGCACTGACTGAGACACCCTGAGCAGCTGCATGGGTCACCACTGCTGTGAGCGTGACTCACAGAGGAAGCCCAGGCCTGCCCGGAGGCGGGAAGGCTCGCACTTAGGGACTAAGGGGCCCTGTGCCGTGACAGAAAGAAGCAGGTGGGGTGAGGACCACAGGGGCGATATGCCATTCTGGGGCAGACGTGGACAGTGCCAAAGGCAGACAAAACTGCCGGGAGGAGAGCTGTTCTCTCACCTGGCGGGCTTGCAAATTCTTTTCTTTCACCGTTTTCTTAAAAAGAACCCTCTTCTGAATTGTCTGTGGTTTTAGTTCAGCTCTAGCCAAGCTTTCTTTGAAAAATAGGACACATTACATAGTTATTGAATTATCAAGCTTTGTCAACATCAACATCATCATTATCAAAATATGATCCAGGTGTTCAGCTGAGCAGATCCTTGCACAAAGTGATTTACATGAATAAACACCCTTCCTTCTCATCTTTGGGAATTTAGCTAAGAAGCAAAAAAACAAAAATTGGTGTGGATGGAAATATAAAAAGGCAGACATGCACCATGTGCATAAAATCTGAGAATAGAACATCATGAAGGACTAAAAGGGGAGGGTGCATGACCCTCAGTCTTACCAGTGTCCAGCTGAGGCACGCTGACGGCTGTCCGATTGGGCTGGGAGGGAGAGAAGAGTTGATTTGAAGGGTCATTTCAAACCTTTGAGTCAATGACCAGACTCAGAGCCCTTGAGGACAGAGATCAAGTCTTGTTTATGTTTGAGCCCTCATTATCAGACATAGAGCTCAGCACTTCCACTGTAGTTTGATTATAAGAGCTATTATTTTGTTGTTGTTATAATCTCTGTTATGAATGTCCCGGTATCACCTACTAACTATCCCAGAAGATGAGGCTGTCATAATGAGGGTCGATGCTCACAGACAGCTTCAACCTGTTCAATTTTGTGGGAAGTACCCTGTATCACTGTTCTGGAAGCTCTTTTCCCCAGAATCCTGTAAGCTGGACCCACTAGTTATGAACCCCATTTATGAAGAGATAACAGTTGCCAATACAATGAAATAGATGTCACGGGAAAATGAAATTTAGTGTTCTGGTCAAATAATTAAATATATATGCAGGGCAGAATGGGTTTTATATCCCTCTAACCCTTACTCTATTCAGGCTGCTCTATCAAAGTACCACAGCCCGGGTGACTTACAAACAGCAGAAATTTATTGCTCACATTCCAGAGGCTGAAAGTCCCAGATCATGGTGCTAGCATGGTCTGGCGATCCACACATGGTGGAAGGGGCAAGGGAGCTCAGGTGGGATCTCTCTTCTAAGAGCACTAATCCCACACATGAAGACTCTACCCTCAGGGATCGAATCACCTGTCGAAGCTCCACCTACCAATACCTACCCTTTGGGGGTTAGGATTTCAACATATGAATGGGGGGGGCACAAATGTTCAGATGATAACAAACCCTCACTTCACTCTCCTGCCTTTTCCTGGGGCCTGACAAACCAAAGCTAGGCCAACTCAAGGGGGAGAAAGAGCAGAGATCCATAAGCACATCAATACACAGGATATACCAAGGAGGCCAGCTTGGCCAAGAGCAAGCTCAGCTCATCTTACAGAACCCATGGCCTGTTTCTCCAGCCCAGGCAGAGCAGAACCCAAGGTGACCAAATGCTGCCCTATCTTAGAGGCTGAGGATGGATGTGGGATCTGGGAGTGGGAGCAGTGGGGTAAAACAGTCAGAAGGAGCAGGATTTGGGGAAGGAGTGCTGAAGGCCAAGTGGGAGGAACCCCCAGTCTACCTTGGTCTAGCTCCAAGGACCAAGGGCCGAGGAGGACCCAGGGACTATCCCCAGGAGTAAAAGAGCCACTTCTGAGCCCCAACCTCACAGCTTCTGACTGGTTTAGAAGAGACAACTCACTCTTGAAGGGCTGTTTTGGACATTCTTTGGATCCATGGTACATGGATAGGCTAAGAGTAAAACTCTAAAACTGAAAACTGCTCTTCCCTTCCACTCTTCAGGGAAAAGCTCCAGTTTTGTTTTGTTTTTTAAGATTTTATTTATTTATTTGAGAGAGAGAGAGTAAGCAGAGGGAGAGGGAGAGAGAATCAAGCAGACTCTGTGCTGAGCGCAGAGCCTGATGCAGGGCTTGATCCCACAACCCTGAGATCATGACCTGAACCGAAATCAAGAGTCAGACACTTAACCGACTGAGCCACCCAGGGGCCCCTCTAGGTTTGTTTTATATGCATTTTCCCTTAGTTCTCATACAATAAAAGGAATCATATTGTCATCAGTTTTCTAAAGGCAGTACCCAACTTCCTCTAATTTTCCTGTGTCTGATGGGGGCCAGCCAGTCTCAGGTACCTCACCACACAAGCAGGTAGAACTCTCCAAATGGACATTTATGAAGCCCTGGGTGCTGGCTGGGCAGGGCAGCTCACAGAAATGCAAAGCATCCCAGGCATCAGGCCGGAATTTACTCCCACCCTCTCCTCTGCCCACAGAACAGCACCTCCAGGCCTCAGCCTCCTCTACTTGGAGCTGAAGGCACCCTGAGACCTCTCATGGAGATTTACCCTGTTGGCCCAAGTGGAAAGAGGGGGAAGAGGCCCAGGTCCGAGGGAATGCCTACTGAGTCATCATGCAGAAGGAAAGAGCAGAATTTGAACAGCTGCCTCTGCTGGAAAGGTCCAGAGAAAAGGCGTTTCCAGACCCGTGAGTTAGGTGGACAAGCAAGCAAGAGGAGGGCCCACGCAGTGGGGATAAGATTCCTGGAAAGTGGGCTGACTCGAGGGCTGGCTGGAGGGGCCGGGCTGGGGGTGCTCTCCCTTTAGTAAAGCCTGACACCCTCAGTGGAGGCAGGATAAGAAGGAGGAATGAGAATGGGGATGAAGGATTAAAATAGGTTTCGGTGGGGGCGGGGGGGGGGGCGCGTTCTAGCCTGAGGAGAGGAAACACATGAGAAAAAACACATATACCCTGAGAGACAGCCCAGCATATTCCAAGAAGAGGAGGCTTGGGGGCGAGGAAGCTTAGGACAAGCAGTTCTTTTGCAAACCTGGAACGGAGCAGGGAAAGGGCACCTACAGGGTATCCACTTGGCTAGCGAATGGCACGCCACCAAGTGTGGTCACAGCCAACATGCCCCAAAATAGGACCACAGGCTGGACAGCAGTGTCGCTGTCGCGCCCCACCTATTTTATGGATGAGAACACTGAGATCCGTGCCCGATCTCGCCTGCGGGGCTGCACCTCAGAGCAAGGGCAGGAGCCGACTGCTTGCCCACGAGGCCACTGAGGGCTTCACGGTGAGCGTTTTTACTTCAATGCCACACATTTGTTGTAATACGCCTTTAAAAATATAACTAAAACCATCAAACCTGTGGTTTCAGGGATACTGTTGCTTAAGAGGATGCGATGTTTCAAAAGTGAGTTTATTTAAAGTTCATTTAAACGAAGTATCAAATAAATAATACTACATATGGCACTGGGTTTTGCTTTCTTTAAAAAAAAAAGCAAAGGTGGGAAACCAAGTACTGATGATGATGAGGATGAGGATGGCCAGGATAGCTACTCATTTTATAACGCTCACTATGTTCATACATGAAGTCATTTATTCTCGAGACGGCTCCCTGGGGCTGGCACAGTTATTCTGGTTTTCCACAGGGGACTGGGAGAGACCCTGAAAGGCCCCCTGGGGTCAGGATCAGACTGCCTCTGGGTTCTGAGACTGCAGAACTGAGCTCAGCACAGAGGGACTGGCTGGGGCCTCTGGCGAGGGGGGGGTGGGGGTGGGG